ATTTCGAACAGAGAGATGGCGACAAAGAGGAAAAGTTACGGACTGGAGCTTTAAGTGAAAGTGAATTGCAACCGGTTTATGCAAACTAAACTGAGTATATTAGCAATACACACCCCTAATAATGACATTATGGCTTTAATGTTAGCTTATTTTAAAAAAATACAGGTATATTGTTTCAATAGAATAACGTTACTGTAGCTTATAAGTTCCCTTGTCTCTTATTTTCTTTGTTTTATTGTGTTGCAGGTCATGGGAAGAGATTCTTTTGAACCCAATATCCTGAGATTAGCAACAAACTGAATATCAATCTCTGAAAAATATGCTTTGGAAGTGTAAGTATTGCGCTCTTAGCTGTGAAAAGAGAGCACAGCTATTTAAGCATTATAGGCTAAAACATGGAAGTTATGCAAGAACAGAGCCTTTTCCTATGATAAATACATGTGCAGTGTTTCCCACAGAATTAGATTCTATTTGCGGTGGTGTGGTGTTTGATTAAGGCACAACAAAAGGGTTAAATATATCATATATTACACATTTCCATTGCCAACACTTAGTGTCAGATAACTTAAAGACATTGCTATTGCTACATTGCTATTCCATTGCTACACTTTCTATGACTGCTCCACAGACTTCTTGTTGCAAATTTTGCTCATACACACACACCAACCTGGAGGTGGACACAGACACAGACACAGACACACACACACACACACACACACACACACACACACACACACACACACACACACACACACACACACACACACACACACACACAAACAAACCTGGAGATGGAGGTGGACACACTCACACCAAAAAGGACATGGAGGTGGACACACACACACACTAAAACTTACTGACACACTCAAACACAGGCTCACACACACTCACACATTCAAAAAGACTCGCGTACACAGATTCAAACACTGACTCAGACTCACACAGGCTCTCTCACACACACACACACACACACACACACACCGACCTGGAGGTGGACACACACACACACACACACACACACACACTGATATTGATATTGTGGCGGGCCACCACAAATTAATGATTGTATGGGAAATCCTGATGTGATTATCCTTAGCAAGATATGTTTTAACTCTTGTGTCATCTATCTTGCAGACCACTGAGCCAACAGACATCAGGTGCCTATGTCTTCGGGGACTGCCTGTCATCTTGGCGGATGATTCTTCTGCCTTCTTCAAGACATGCTCTGTAAGTTAATTTGTTTTGTAAATGTTGGAGGTGCATGCTCCTTTGGTCTAATTTTTAGCTGTTAATGAACACTTCCATTCATTTTCAGAATTATTTGATCAGCATCAGTGTCTCCATTAATTCTCTATTTAATGGCCGAACAAAGATAGTTTACCCACTTTCAGTCCCAGTCCTATTGAAAAAGTAGAAAATTTCTCCCAATAACTAAGGTTGTATGAATCCTTTTACAATTGCCCAATTAGTTTTTGACTTTACTGTCACCGGTTGGAACTTGTGAAATTGTTTTTGGGTCTAAAACTCAAATGGGAAGTTCTGATTGCACTTGTTAGATTCTGGTTGCTCCAGTCATCAAATATCTTATTTGTGTTTTTAAAGTAAAAAAAAAAAGCAATTAAGGTGAAAGGTACTGAGAGTCATAAAAAAATGTTTCAGCACGACTGTGACTGAAAGTGGGTAAACTCCATATGTTGGGCAAAGTGTTGCAAACTCTACAGATCCGAATATGGCATTTGATAAAAATTCAAGACTGGTATCGTCCTTTTAATATAAATTACTTTCAGTGTGGTTCATATTGTACAATGCTTTTCATTATAAACAGTCACAGGTTATTTTTGGTGGACAAAACACCATGGTCTAACTGGCATGTTTATGTTCTCTCCTTGTCTGAACGTTTGTTTCACTGTTAGGATGTAACTGACAAGGACTCGTACATTGAAACTCCAGTGGGTATTCTCTGCCTTGGTCAAGAAAATACCCAGCTCAACCCATCCAGAGTAGGGATCATCTTGGAAGGGTCTGTGGTAATGGATGAACTGGCCAACCTGCCTCAGGCCTTCTGTGTCCTTTTTGGACTGATCTATGCCCTGCACCTGGACTACCCCAAATGCATGAAAAACACTTTCAACTTTATTCAGCAAGTAATGCTCAAACTGGGTAGAAGTGAGCTGGTACCCAAAATTCAAACTTTGAAAAATCAGCTGGAAGCATAAAACGGGGTTCGAAGTGGCTCTACTACTGTTCCAGATTTGTTTGCCACAGTTTGTGATGTTGGAATTTTATGAAAATATGTTTACCGTTGTGTATGGTTTGAGGTACATGTGTCCTGTGGTATTTGCACTGATTTTTTGCACAAGATTCCATGACACAGGCTTTGATAAAATTTAATTTCAAATTAGTTGGGTATTTTAGTTACATTACCAACTAAAAGGCAGATGTCTTGGTGCATTTTGGATTTTCAAGATATATAGTGTAGATATTTTAGTCATGTTTAGTCATATAAATGAGAATGTTATATAAATTACATATATATATATATATATATATATATATATATATATATATATATATATATATATATATATATATATATATATATATATATAGTAACTATATAAAAAAATTCCCTTACAGGAGTGTAAGCTATAATACAGTTTTAATGTGATTTGTTGTGATGATGTACACATGCTTGAGCACGATAAGTGTTTTTGTTGGCATGATGGTGCTTTGTTTTATGCAATGTTCATGGCATGAATGACACATTTTGCCACTGTTTCAGTCTTATGATTCAAGGTTGTTCAGGGGGCAACAACCTGTAAGTTAATGCTGTTTTCTAATAAAACGGTAAAAGAAATTACTTTTGTATTGCGTATTTGTCTTAATTTAAATGTTCTAGTTTAGTAAATTCAATGAATACAAAGGTCTAGTTATTTTAACTTAAAATAGTAAGTGGAGTTCATGTGACAAGACAATTAATATTACAAGAGATTGTAAGTTAAATCAACTTGGCATTCAGTGTTTTGAACTTAAAATAATAAGTCCACCCTTTCATTCATTTAAGTTAAATGCACTCAAGTTTTCATAACCCATTACTTAAAGTTTTTAAGGCAACCGGTTTCCTCAAATTTTTTAAGTGAATTCAACTTATCCGGGCTTACAGTACATCTATATATATTATGAAGTGTATTACTGAATCTAAAATTACATTATGCTATATTAGTAAATATTTTGTCACATATTTCAATATATGAAAAGCAAAAATTCCTTATGTATTATTCAACATATTGTAATATATTAACACGATACATTATTCTGTATATTTTCAATATGTTATATCATTTAATATATTGATCATTCACATATCGGGAAATGTATTTTCTTTTCGTAAGGGTTAACTGATCATCAATCACAACTCCGAGGTTCCTGGCTGATGGTGAACCTGAATGGAGAAGTGTTGGGTTGGTTGAGATCATAAGCAGTTCTGTCTTTGCAAGGTTGAGTTGAAGGTGGTGGTCATTCATCAAGTCTGAAATGTCTGTCAGGCAGCCAGAGGCTGAGATGCAAGCAGCTACATTTGGATCATCTAGCTGAAATGAGAGGTAGAGTTGTGTGTCATCAGCAAATCAGTGATAGGAAAAACAATGCTTCTGAATGGCAGATCATAGTATTGACATAAACTTTTTGTTGGGGAAGTCAGGGGACCAGAGAGGAATGGTGGCATGTGGGAATTACATTAGCAAAAAGCCTCTAAAGGAAATTGTAAGTCCAATCATGAGTCAGCTGCAAAATTCACATATAGAAAAATATAGAAAAAGAAAGGTCCAAGTGTGAGAATATTATTGTTTTAAACAATCTCTAAGTATAACTGGGCGGCCCTTTTGCAACCTGTTGATGTTCAGTTCAAAGGTTCTGGAGGTGTCCTCTAGAAACTGTGCTCACTTGAGTATTATACATTAGATCTGTCTTTAGAAGAACAACAACAACAACACGAGATAGTAGCATACTTCAGCCTTGTGTCAAATACATTTTAGAGTCCAGAGTTGGGTCATAATTCATTCAAATAATGAATGAATGGAATAATTCAAATAAATAGGTACCTGGCTGTAAATGTACATTGTAAATAGGCTATGCCAATCTGTAACCAGATGAGAAATTCATAAATAGCATATAAAATAAATATCTGAAAACTAAATACAGATTAATTATTTTAAGTAGCCTAGGTTATTTAAATATTTAAAGACCTGTCAATTGTTTATTCTAAACAAGTTTCTTTTAAACTTAGATAAACTCCGTAATAAAGTATAATTGTTCACAAATGTCTCCTGCTCTGTTCGAGATCACAGATTCAGAAAAAGATTTGTCCATTAATGCAATTTGCTGAGGGGGACTTAGCCTACTGGGACTTAAAAATGGCACTTCATGACAGAAAGGTTGCCGACCCCTGGTTTATTTAAATAACGGTAAAATGATTCTTTAAAAAGTATAAAACACATCGATTTTACTAGCAAACAGTGTCCTCTTGTGTACATTTGAAGAACATGATAGCTGTACCTTCACGCAAAATATGTATTAATAATAAATAAATAAACAAACATTCTGCACAGAGACAGCATTAAAACAAATGTTCATGCTATCCCCCAAATCGTATTAGAACAACATCTGAATGTAGCAGTCTGGTAATGGCATAATTTATCGTGATGGATGTCCGCTTCTTAAACGAATCGTTCTTTTGAACCGGTTCTTTTTAGTGAACTGGTCGAAACAGTTCGTCGAATCTGAATCGTCGAGTCAGCGCTGATCCTCAACTCAAAAGTTACTCACTTTCGGACGTGCCCGACAGAATAGCGCCTCCAACTCGAACTAAATCAATATCCCGGAGTATATGTTACTCTAACATGACATTCTACTCTATACACTGACATTTTGTGCTGAGAGAACTGATGAGCACGAACTGATACTGAGCATGCGTGTATGCTTTGCACTGACAACAAGGCACATAAGTTTCGTTTCTCCGCTGCCACCGCCCACTAAGTCAGTTGTTTGTCGTCAGTGATCGCGGCTCCCTCGACGTCTCACAATGGCGGAAAATATGTCTCTACTTGGTCTCGAAGACGAGTTGACATGCAGCATTTGTTTATGTCTTTTCGAGAACCCGGTGAGTTTAATTTGTGGACACAGTTTCTGCGCCAGCTGTCTCGAAGCGACATGGAAAGACAGGATATCACCACTGTCCTGCCCTCATTGCCGAATGGCTTTCAGCAGTAAACCAGAACTCAAGAAGAACACCGTCCTCAGCGCGGTGCTGGATGCCTATAGAATAAAAGCGGGCGTCCCTGAACCTCTTAAGGAACCATTTGAGGTGAAAAAGAACGATCCAGATGAAATAAAATGTGACAGCTGCATGGAAGCCAAAGCGGTCAAAACTTGTTTGACTTGTATGGCGTCGTATTGTGAGGATCATGTCAGGCCTCACCGGGAGAATGCTATTTTCCGGGCGCATCAGCTGTCTGACCCGCTGCCGGATCTGATGGAGCGTCTCTGTTCCGATCATGGCAAACTGATGGAGTTCTACTGCGTTCAGCACCAGAGCTGCATCTGCAGCAACTGTCTGCAGTGCGTTCATAAAGGCTGTGAGTTCATCACCGCAGATGACCGGCGCTTTAAACAAAAGGTTGGGTCTATATATTTATTTGGAAAGTATAAATGTGAAGAGAAAAAAATATGATAGATAAACATGAAAAGTGACCTTACAGAGTAATCTATTAAAGTAATGTTAGAGCTGTTGTAACTACGTTTACATGGATACCTTTGGTTTCATTCTATATGAAATCATAACGATTGATGAATCCGAACCTAGTGTTTGTGTCAAGTCAAGTCAAGTCACCTTTATTTATATAGCGCTTTTTACAATACAAATTGTATCAAAGCAGCTTCACAGTGATAACATGAAAATAATACAACAAAGTTTGAGTAAGGCAGATCAATAATATTGTTGAACATTAAATGTCCCCAACTAAGCAAGCCAAAAGCCAAGGCAACAGTGGCAAGGAATCAAAACTCGATCAGGTCTCTGCATCAGGTGACAGAATGGAGAAAAAAACCTTGTGAGAAACCAGGCTCCGTAGGGGGCCAGTTCTCCTCTGGCCAAGGAACGAACAGTGTATGTTTATGATTCAGCCAACATTACTGGTCAAAAGTTAGATTGGATCAGAACATTCACAATATTTATCCAGTTCCATCTTGTTGGAGGTCGGAGTCTTCACGTCGGTATGGAGACGAGTTTGTTGAGGTGTCGTTGAGGTGTCCATGAGGCCTTCACAGGGCTGATGAGGCTGGCACTTCAGGGATGCGTTGTGGTTGTGTCCAGGTGCAGGTCCACCATCTGATTTGGATCCGGCCCAGATCCGGCTGACTTCAGTAAACCTAAACGGAAAGACTAACATTAGCGTAGATGCCATTCTTCTTCTTATGATGTAACGAGTACATCAGGTGTTATAGGAAGTGTCCTTGGTTCCGGCTGACCTAATCTATGCAGCCTAATAATCATTTAACTGATTTGAATAATAGAAATGTACAATGTTCTATGTGAATGCCAGGGTAAAAGAGATGTGTTTGTTTATGTCACAAGCATCTGTAAGGCCTGCCTAATCGGTCCATCGATAAGCAGGTGAAGGCCTCTGCGTGTTACTCTTTTCCGCGTGGCAAAGTAATTTGATTCCATTTAAACTTTTATCACGACCTCGAATTTAGGTTGGAATGCCAATTTGTTATTGGTCATTTATATAATAGTTTAGCAATACATTTGATTGTTCTTTTTAACTCTTTACTCTTATTAATCGTTCATTCTGGTGCCAAAGTCGCACATGGTCCTCGCACCGACCGTTAATATATTATGCGGGCCCACGATAACAAACTCGCCAGCTTCGGCTCACTAAACAGAGGTATTTGACTAATACCTAGATGGTCGCATTCAAACTATCAAACCGAGTTCACTTGAATTAGTGCCAAATATTAGCCGGAACTCTAAAATCGCAGTTGGTGTGCCCCATGCTCCTCTCAAAACTGGAATATAGTCCATTACTAATCTGATGCAGATTTGCGGTAACAATGGATACAACGTAATCTACTAAAGTAAATAATTTCAGAGTAGCCTAATTCAGAACAAATTCAAACTTAACAATTTATTATGTCAGGTAAATGTATCATGCTAATTTTATAATCAGTTCAAAGATAATCAATACAATAACATCAAATGCTCAGAGATAAAGAGTAAAAGATGTACCTGACTCTAGAAATACATATTGCTGAGTGTCTGGAAGACACTCCGCATTATGGGTCGATCTCATTACTTATCGCCCTGAGCCTCTTGATGCATTTCTTTAAATACCCAGACCGAGACAGAAACTTCTTTCACATGGAAACATTTGTTAACAATGGGAATTTGCATTCAGAGTTTACACCTTTTGAGAGCAGGATGCAATTTGCCTGGAAAACACACCCTCCTCTGTGTGCAAGTTATCTCTGAACTCTTAAAAACTTTATTACCTTTTGGTTTACTTCTGTGGAGAATGAGACATCTGTACCAGTCGCACTACAATAGAGACATTACAAATGATACCAAACATGTATAATATATGATAAATTATTATCCACATTAAACCATATAGATTTTTGGGTGAATTTCAGGTGATCTCAGCATGAGAGAGAGAAGAAACGGGGGAATGGGGGGTCAAGGGAAAGAGATGTAGATTAGGATGACTTGCGTCTCAAATGGTGATGCTAATTTCACAAGAGAGAGTTCAAATGTTAATTTCCAAAAAGGTCCTTTGTCTTCTCAGGGAGTGGTTGTTCCTCTACTAGTCCGGCATTTTCTAATTTCTCAAGTCTTACACTTCAAATCGGAATTGTTTTTTTTTTTTTTTTACATGCTGCACGCATATACAAAGTTCACCGCTCTTTTCGTATATATCTATCTCCTAAATTAATATTTATCTATTAAATTACTCCTTAGCAGACTTAATATTTATCTATTTCTGGTCCTAATTAGGAGACGACGTGCACATGAACCTTGTGTCGTGCTGTTTATTTATCAAGCAGTAAAAACGCCCCACCCCGCAAGCAGTGTCTGCCTGCAGGCACTTGCACGCTCACCTGCGCGCACTTCCTCTGCAAGTGAGGTCACTTGCAATTTCTTTATATTGTGTATTTACTTTACTCAGTAATAAAAAAATTATAATAAATGTAATTGACATATTTGCAATAAAACAAAAAAATCTGCATCAGCTTAATTGTTTTTTAAATTGTGTAAACCTTATAATTCCCTTGATGAACAGCTTTGCTGTTATATTAAAAGTCTTTGCCTACTTGAATGCTAAATAAATATAGCATAATATTTCGATGAACACAAGCTGCAAAAATAACTTTGGGGAAACTTTTCGGTGGCGTTATAGCACGCAAGTACACAAATACTTGTGTACACAAATACGTGTACTTGCGTTATAGCATGCAAGTACACGATTGCAAGTACATCACTTGCAATCGACACAAATAAACCGGAAATACGTTTCCAGCAGTTAATTTGCATTATTGACGCTGTCGCGTTTAACAGCGCCAATAATGCGAATTAACTGCTGGAAACGTATTTCCGGTTTATTTGTGTCGATTGCAAGTGATGTCACTTGCAAGAGGACGCTATTGGACACCGCACCCAAAACAAGGTGTCTGTGTGGATGAAAGTCCGAAACAGGGACTGGACGTTGTGTGGCTCCACTTCACAGACGATGAGTGGAAGGAGAATTACTAGAATGACATGACACTTCATTCAGCAGCAACAACAGATCACTTCACACGTCATTGCGCCATTGTCATCGCACATGCGCAGTACTACTTTCCAATTTTGGTTTTCAATTCGATCAAATGTTTACATGTCCTCTCGAAATTTAGAAAAGGCTTAAACTTTTCCCTTACACTGCGTTTACATGGACTCTAATAATCCAATTGTGATCAGACTACTAGCACAGTCGGAATAAAAAAGTCACATGTAACCACGTCAATTGGAATGAATTGCCCAAATCCAATTCATATTTTATTCTGATTATCTACGTTTACATGGACACTTTTTGTTTCAGTTGGAATGAAATCATTCCGATTGATGAATCTGAACGTAGGGTTACATGAACGCTAAATAAAGTTTTCGGGTTGATGTGCGGTAAATATGACAAGCTTCAAATTGGAATTGATTTTTAGACATGCACACAGTGCATGAATATAGGCTACAGAGTTTCCCGCTGTTTGTGCATAGTATTCTCCTAAATTGCTTATTTTCTTTGTTTTAAAGGGCAGACTGGTTACCTGGTTTCTGGTCGACGATTTCCAGCCCAAAAGCTCACTAAAACCCGCCCACTCAAAGAAAAACCCGCCCAAAACTTTAACTGCCAAATAATGTGATAGGATTAATGCCATTTCAATCATGTCACCATTATGTTCTGTTTGTTTTCGTTAGTCACGTGTTCCTTTGTTCTAGTTTCCCGCCACTCATCAGTTACCATGGACACTTATAATGTTGTGTATATGACAGTTCCAATCATAGTTATTAATGTTTTGCATTGCTGCGTGCGAGCTGAAGCTATCACCGGTACAATAAAGCACTTAACTGCATTGTTAATTACCTCAACCAAATACATACTATATGAGATTAATCAGATATTTATACTACATAAACTTAATATTACGACTATATCTGCACAAAATTACGCAAATGCACAAGCGAACTAGGCTGTGCTGCATGGACATCATGTGTAACTCCTGTTGTGGATGTGCTGTCCCTGCAACAATGTGCTGAAACACAACGACAAAACCCAGAGAAGTCACAACGTTTTATTACAATAGTGTTCTCATTATAATGTTATGTATATAGTCCCAGTAGTTATTAATGTTGTGCATTGCTGTTTGAATTGCGCTCGCTGAAGCTTAAGATGATCACTGGTACAATAAAGCGCTTCACTGCATTGATAATTAACTCAACCAAACGCATCCTATATGAGATAAATCATATATATATATATATATATATATACACAAAATAAACATAATATTACAACTCACAATGGCACAAAAGGCTGCGAATACACAAGCGAACTTGTCATGAGGGCTTAACTCAGTGGACGTGCTCTTTCCGCAACAAGTGCTGCAACGGAACGGAAATACTCAATATAATTCATAATCCCACGTTTATACTGAACAACGCGTTATGGTTATTGTGTTATTGTGTTACAAACGGTGTACGCACAGAACAGAGAGGCGGAGTGAGCAAAGCTCATTATCATTTAAAGTCATATGCACTGAAACGGCGTGCTGAAAACAGCTGTTTTTGACCAAGTAAAATAAGTGTTTTCTTACAACACTAATGAGAATTTTTAATTAAAGTATATTACAAACTTTTAATTTAGACCCTAAAGAATCATACTAGCTTGTACAAAAATGCCATTATATGACCCCTTTAACAAAAATGTTATTTGTACCACGGGGGTAAAATGCCCTCAATTTGACAAAGCAATTTGCTTGATACATTTTCAGCAAAATCAGAGTACAAGCAGTTTTAGCTTAAAATTAAAAAGACAAGCCAAAATAACAGTAGATAAATATGAATATTTATTAATGAACCTGTCATGC